GTGCTAATGATCCATTGTTAGGCTGATGGTCCTTCTTGAGCATGTGATCAGCTGGTTTTGGTTGTCAGCAGCAAACTGGTTGATCCACTCTGAGAAGGTGCTATTTAAGAGACTGAGCTGAATACAGCTCCTCAGACTGAGGAAGTCCTCAGGATGAGAGACGAAACGTTTCTACATTTTTTTTTAAATTTTATTGTGAGCAAAAGTAAATGCAAAAAGTTAATTTGTTAAAATAATTTGTTCAACAACTCAAATGTCCTAAATAAGGATTTATATTTTATTTTACAGACTTCCCACAGTGTCTGGTGCACGATTGTGTATTGACTCCAAATTAACACTGGAATGTTTATTTTTAATTTTTATTTTCCATCAGTGGAAGAATTATTTTATATAATATTTCTGAACAATTGTTGAGATAAATAAACACAAAATAGAAAAAACAAAATGTGCAATTAGGTGACGGAGTACAAAGTACGGTTTCTATCCAAACCGTCACAAAATTAATTAATTAAACATAAAGAAATTAAAAAATAATCTTTGTTTCTATGTTTTGTTGTTTTGCAATTGTTAACTAAAGTTTACTTAAAGTGAAAGAACTGAGGAAGAAGAGAAAGTGCCGTTAAAGCAGTAAAAATATAACATTTAGTCAACTGGACGATGAAAACTTTTGATCAAACAAATAATGAGGCTAAATGTTATTTATTTTAAATTAACTTGTAAGTCATGGGATTTCTGAGTCTCTTCTTTTATGCTGAACCTGCTTCTGCTACACGAGACAGTATTTAGTGTTTCATCATTGCTGCCACTCATCGTGTTAATTTCGAGGTTGAACCAAAACACAAGAAGATCTTTGTCTAAAACTTTGGCACAAAACGCGTTCCTTCAAGTGATTCTAGGCAAAAACTTAAACCCTTTTTCTTCTTAATGTATATTATTCTGGAGACGAAAACAAGCAACCAGAGAAATTGCATTTCCTGCAAAAATGTAGTGTGAATGCTTATTGCAGAAGAACTTGCTGAAAAACAGCTGAAATGAGCTAAAAATAACTTGAAATGTATGAACAAAATTAGCAGAAGAAAGCAGAAAGAACACATATTTGTTGAATTGGGTTTAAATAAGCAGAAATTAGCACTTTAAAATGAGGAAATTAGCTAACAAAGCTGAAATTAGCAAAAATAGCTGAAAAGTAGCTGAAAAGGCATAAAGAAGCTTAAACTACCAAAATAAAGCAGAAAGAGCTGAAATGAGCGCAAAAAAACTAGCAGAAAAAGCTGAAATCAGCATAAACATTTTAATTAGGATGAAAGTAGCAGAAATTACCATGAAAATTTTGAATTTATCTGAAAACAGCTAAAATTAGCTTAAAAGCTAGCTGAAAATATAGAACAAGCTTAAATTTGCAGAAGAAAGCGGAAAGAACATGTTTGCTCAATTACGCTGAAAGAAGCAAAAATGTACTAAAAAAAGTGGAACTAATCTGAAAAAACCTGAAATGAGCAAAAAACAACTGAAAAGTAGCTAAAAAGGCTGAAAGAAGCTGAAGTTACAAGAATAAAGTGAAGAAAGCACATTTTTGCTGAATTAAGCTGAAAAAAGTTAAATGAGTCCAAAAAATATGTAATTAGCTGAAAAAAAAATTAAATTAGCATAAATGCTACATAGAAGCTGAAATAGTAGAAAAAGCTTAAACTTACAGAAATGAGATGAAAGGAGCATAACAAGCTGAAATTAGCAGAAAGAAGATAGAAATTGTTCATGTAGTTTAAAAAAAATCTGAAAGGAGCACAAAACAGCTGGAAAAACGGCTGAAATTAACTGAAAATAGCTTAAAAAAGTTTAAATTAGCAGAAGGAAGCCGAAAGAAGCAGAACCAGAACAAAATGTGAAAGGAGCAGTTAAAGGTTGTAAACAAATATAAAAATCTGAAGGATGTAAAATGAGCTCAATTCATTTTCTATGACGAAAAAAGTGGCAGAAAAGGCTAAATATTTCTAAAAGCTAAAGCTGCACCAATACCAAAAGTCACAGCAGGATTGTCCTGAAGGAGCTGAACATTTTGATTGCTGCACAAAAATTGTGGAACGAGAAAGAAGCTGAAAAACTTACAGAATAAAAATGGATCACAATAGTGTGAATGCTTCACAAGTGTTAGTATTAAATCAAAGGACTGAGCTGTGCTGCTGATCGCTGCTGATCGCTACTGATCGCTGCTGATCGCTGCTGATCGCTGCTGATCGCTGCTGAAAACTTTTCAGCTTTTGATTTTGCCATAAAGCCGACAGGGAGCAGCTTCCTGAAGGGAGCGAGGAGTGGCTGCAGGTACCTTGTTGCAGACTCAGGTGTTTGGCAGCCGGAGAGTCTTTGAGGACATCTTTAACAAAGATCCCCCGCTCTCCTCCACCCGTCACGCTGTAGCCGCTGGCGCCAACCTCTGCCTCCGTCTCCATCATGACTTCCACCGCCTTGGAGGCCTCCTCCACCCTCTGAGACACACAAACACAACCTTCAGGGTCCTCGGACACAGAAATAACTCTTTGTTTTGGTTCTACTGGGTTAGATTTTAATTGTCATAATTTTCAGAGCTTTTTTGTTTGTCATAGGAACAATTTAAACCAGTATGATAAAAAAAAAAAAATGTTCTGTGTTTTTGTGAATTTTGTTTTTTATAACGATACAAGCAGAGGCACTGCTCAACCTGCCCATGTGTTTTCAGATTTTATCGCTCAGTTGTTACTTTGCACTTTACTTCTGAATCCATTGTGTCCATTAATCTGTCACAAAGGTCAGTCTATTCTCGGACTACAGTCACTTTTCTGGAGGCTGACCAAAGAAAATAACTCTCAGAGGACTCAGAAATGGGAAAAAAGTCAACTGAAGCTGGATCTTGTGAAGAACAGTTTGTCTTCGTGAAGGCATCCAACTGTAGTGAACCTAACCTGAAGTAATAAGCCTAAGGTCGAAACACTTGACCTTAAGAACTGACCAGATGGACAGAGACTGTTATTTCATTGATCTGCATCCAGAAATACAGTTTGAGCCATCTGGTGACTTTCTTTCTTGAATTAATCAAGTAGAAAAGACAATTCTCTATGATCATTACTATTTTACAAATGTTTGATAATCAAATTGTGTTAGTTCACTCAATGCTTACAGGTTGAAGAGAACTACTCATTTTTATTTTACATAAACAGTAAGTAATGATTTTTATTCCTCATTCAAAGAAGAAATCAGGTTAATATGCATTTCTTGATTTTCTGTCTTCAATGAGCAAGTTTTGTAAGTATGTTAAAGGTCGAGTCTCGGTCAACTAAAATGTTTACTGAGAAGAAATGTCATGTTTAAACTTTTTCAGAAGATAATAGGAGTTTGACTCCACGAAGTCTGGTGTTTCTCCAATAATCTTTTCTGTCTGTTAAGCAATCTCATTCTCTGACCTCGAATTTGATAACATCTTACATCACAAACCACACCTCTATTCTGGTCCATCCACGAATCAGAAAGCTCTAAATTGACCCGGAAGTCAACTCATTTAAAATGTGGCAACTTCCCGGTTCTTGTCAGAGTGCTGAGAGTCTGATGTCGGAAGTCTGATAGAGAGTGCTAAGGAGATGAAAGGAGTTCAGAGTTCTTGGATGCAAACGCGTTCAGGATGATCCAGAGACGTTTTGGGATTATAACTTCTGTTTGAATAACCTCGCACGACTCTCGAAGGATTTCAGCTGCTCTCAACGGAGACGCTGAAAGAGTCAAAGGAGGATCCTATACCGACGCTGACCTATCATCAACCAGGTAACAGTCCACTTCGACCAAGCGTACCGTCGCAAGCTGAGATCTGAAGGAGCGTGCACGTTTCTGGTCAAACAGATTAATTCCCTCACAAATCTCTCTGTAAGATAAATCTCCATCTTCCATCTTAAACTCTCCTTTCTCTTAAAATCAGTACAGATATTTTAGAAATATCTGAAGCAAAGTCCTCGATCACCGCCGTGTGATTGAAGTCCATTATCTGTGAAACTTGTCTGTTATTATTTTCATATTTTGCCAAATTAATGTAAATGTTTGATGTTAAACTTTGATTCTGAAAATAAATGACCGCATTCATTTTGATGGGTCAAAGATAATAACGTCTCTCGTTCGCATTTCTGTTAAACTCAACGCACGACATCTACACAGTCAGAAAGATGAGGAACTCGTGAAAAATGTATGAAATATCCAGCATATGACATACTACACAACACTGGGTGACCATAAATTGAGTCCACCCTACAGAAGGAGGTTGAAACGTGTTAATTGTTTGCTGCGTACCGCCTGCTCCTCTGCTGGCTCTGAGTCCATCTCTGCTTGTGCCAGCTGGCAGGAGGAAGCTCTCTGACGACTTCTTTTCTGACTCAACACCTGCTTCAGCTCCGCATGGAGTTTCTCCTTCTGCTCCTGCAGACAAAACAAAACACAAGAAGCTTTATGAAGCCATCTGCCACGAAGGACAGTGACACAGCGATGACACAACGATGACACAACGACGACACAGCGATGACACAACGACGACACAACGACGACACAACGACGACACAACGACGACACAACGACGACACAACGATGAC